CTTCATCCTCGTAAATAGTTCTCTGACTTCAACCTCGTCTCGTTCAAACAGCCCACTCCAATCACCACTCCCCCCCTTTAACAACACCAACTCCAAAACATGTCTTCACCCACCTCCAGCCGTGACCCTTACTACGGCTACGGTCCCATCTCAGTGCTCTCCACCTCGATTGTCACCACCCTCTTCCCACCCATGGTCACCAACCCGGATGAGCCCTACCCCGTCACTGAGACTGGCAAACGCATGCCGAAGCTGGTCGACTTCATCGTAAGCCTTTTGTTTTCTCACACTACCTTTCCCCCCATTTTTCTATCATCACACTAACCTCTATCAACATTTCTTCCCTCGCAGGCCTATGCCTTGTACCGCACTCGATTGAACGATGCTATCGTGCACTCGTCCTTATTGCTGTTGACCAGGCTAAAACAGCGTTACCCCTCTGCCCGGGGAACTCCCTCAAGCCCCCACCGCTTGTTCCTGTCAGCTCTGATGCTGGCATCAAAGGTATGCATCTATTGCTTGATTCTCCCCCGAAAAGTATGATCACTAAACAATTTTATTATTCATGTACATGATATAGATGTCAATGGACGACACCTACTCTAACAAATCGTGGGTCATCGTCGGCCAAAACATGTTCAGTCTCTCGGAAGTGAACCGAATGGAGCGAGAATTGTTTGGCTTCCTGAATTCGAACTGTTACGTGACCAAGGAAGAGCTGAAGGAATGGTGCCAAGAATGGTGTGGCCAGACGGACGAGGAGGAGGACTTGGTGGATGACGAAGAGCTTTACGAGCTCCAAGAGCCTCACGTGCACCATGGCCCATCGATGGTCGAGCCCACTGGTTGCGACTCGAGCGACTCCAACAGCCCGATCTCTTGCTCGACTACCACCACCTCTTCCCCCTCTCCTCGCACACCCGAGGAAGGCTGCGAGGACGAAGTGGATGCCCGTAACCGATGGAAATCTTGCCAACATCCCGTCAGCATTCTCCCGTCGTCTGCTAACGCTAAACCGACGTCTCATGCTCCTACTAGCATTAGCTCCATTCAACATATCCTCAACTCGCCCTACTGAATATTTTTCGGCCACCTAAAAAGACACCCCTCCACCAGGCCCATCTTTTTTTTTCTGCTCATCTCACTTGCTGTAGCTTAATTCTCCCCCATCTTGTTTACTCTTGCTCTTTCCTCCTCCTCCTCCTCATCCATTGGACTTTATCATATTCGATCTGACATACTTATATATACATACACACATATATAAAAAAATCAACCTCCACATCCCATCTCCTCATCATCCGTTCATCCAGAAGAAGAATACTTGTACATGCTTCCCCTTCTCTCCCCTCGTCTTATTTCTTTTGTTTTCTACCAAAAAAAAAAACATTAAACGAAATCGAAAAAAATATAAATACTCTTGAATTATCTACTGTTGTCAATCGTCCTCCTCTTATTTCTCACAACACTTAATGTCCCACCCATTTTCCATTCTCCTTCTCCTGTATTTTTTTTGTTTGTTTGTTTATCGCTCGCTTCACCACCACAAAAAAAAAACCCTACAAAACCAAAACAGAAAAAAAAACATCAAAATCCGATTATATATATTGTCCAGTTCTTGTTGAATTCTTTCTTGGTCCCCTTTTCTGCTTTCCTCCCCCTTGTTATTCCCACACCCTGCTCCTCCTCAAAGATAACAACAACAAAAAAACCCTTCTTCTTTCCTCGTCGCTTTTTCTTTTTTTTTGGTTGTTTGTTCGTTTTGGTTTCTCTCGCCCCCCCTCTCCGCCTTTGCGTGTTCTGCCTGTATCACAATCGCGTCGAAATACCTCCCCCCTTCCCTCTTCCCTCCTCTGTTCTTTTTTTTTGATACCTTTTTGTTACCATATCTTTTCTTATTTATTTATATATATATATCTCAATTATCATTTTTCATTTTTTTTGGTTTTATTACTTGAAACATACCAGCCCCATTGTCTTCCATCTACTTCTTTCTTTTTTTTGACAATTGCTTCATCATCTTCATTGTCATTGTCATCATGTTTGAACAATACACATCTCTTTGAATAAACAATCACAGAAATCAAAATCCAAGTTGACAAGAAATATTGTGGACCTTTGTTGCATTGTTGAATATGTAAAGCCTACAGGGCATCTTGTTGTTCTACCAGACCTAAGACCCAAAGACCATCCACACCCCATCCCAAACGGCAAAAAGAAAAGGTATCCTGTCTGGCCTCTATGTTTGAACTCTCTGGCAACCTGTTGATAAGGTGTTTATAGAGACGCAATCTCAGAGGGGATGGATGGGATGAGCTGTGAAAGACTGTCCTTTATACTAAGAGGGTACAACACAATCTCGAATGCTCCTGTTCTGAACATGGCGTCAGGGTCTTGTCTTGTCTTGTCTTGGGTGCCTTCCAATCTCCTAGGAAAGCTTACTTGGAGATTGTATAGGGAGGGATAACAGATCCGGAACCTGGATTCTTTTTTTTCTTTTTCTTTTTCTTTTGGGTGTTCCTATATCATCATTGTTGTTGGTGGTGGCTACTTGTGTCAGTTGTTTACTTGGATTCTTGTTCTAGATCACTAGGAGAAATTAAGCTGTTTTTTTCTTGGGAGATTGGATTGGTTCTGTGGGATGGATTTGGGCTGGTTGAGTTAGACTAGACTCCCCTCGCCCCTAGTCCGGATCCTTTGATTTGGGAAGGTTATCTGAGTGCGAGATTTAGTATATTAGGGGGCGGAAAATGTAAGAAATCCACCATCAGAAACCAGCAAGCTGCAGGAGACGAATGAAGAACCAACGAGTTTTTTTTCTAAAAAAAATGGTGGATTTTATGAACCGGGCAGGTGATTCAAGAATGGCGGATTTGGGTGTATTGGATAGCCCCCCACTATGGTATTGTCACACAAGAAAAGATGGGGGAGGGGGGGATCCTGATATGCAATCCTGAGATATCTGGGGGCCAACAAACTGTGGGATGGATCAAGAGTGGAATAAGAGCCAGGCCAGGGAGGGGGAAGCAACACAGAGGAGATCATGGGGATGATGGATGATGATGATGATATTATTAGAGATTGTGTGGGCTGCGCAGACTGGTGTTTGGGGAGATGATGGCTAGCCTATATAGTCAGACTAAACCTGGAGGACCAGATGTGTTGAATTTTTGGCGGAAAGGCCGAGAAAAATAATAAACTTTTTGTGAGTTTGCTGAGAGGGCTCAAGTGCTCACAGACAGACTGAGGGAAGGGCTAAAGTGCTTCCTTCAGGAACGGTCAAAAAAATAATAAAGAACCGATAAGATTTTAATTTCTTTATCATCTAGAGAGTTTAAGTAGTCTAGATACAACATGGTCAAAGTGTGGGAGCACCATATTGAATAAGAAACAAAATATTGAAAATGAATAAAAGAGTGGAAAAGAGTGACATGTCAAAGTGGTGAGAGCTCGAGTGAAATTTCAACAAGATGAAATGGTAAAAAAAAGATTGCTTCGTCTGGTGGCTCAACATGGCTACCAAGAAATCAACGGGTTTGGAAATCTGGATGGTGTCTCAGATACAGTGGGATGGTCTGTTTCACACTCTTATCTCTACTGTAAATCAATACCTTTTTCAAGAAGAAGAAAAGGAAAAAAAATGGAGGTATTATCAGGGCTCATGGATTGAGCTTTTTGAATGCCCCCTTTGTTGGGTTAAAAACCTGTTTCCTGGTTTGTGTGCGGCTTGGATGGCAGATCTTGCATGGAGCAACTCAAGTGTGTTTATTTTGGATGTTTGAAAGCTTTGCAGAAGAAGGAATGCAATCCAATCTGGTTGCTGGTTTGGGATAAACACAGTTAAGAGAAATGTCACCCACAAGCCCTGCTATATTTCTGGCTCCTCCCAGAAATTTACACCACAGGTTGAGTTTTGGAAATGGCACTCCGTCGGCTTGACCCCATGGTCAAGCACTGGTCAGCCTTAACCTCTTTTACGTAATCCCACCGGATCGGTCTGGCCAACGTCTAGTTTGGGCAGGAATGCCGCAATTCCAACGTTGGCTTGACCTCAGGGTCAAAAAGTCCCACCGTCGGCTTGACCCCATGTCTGAAAATGAAGAAAAAAAACTTTTTTTTTTTCAAGATTTTTTCTACATCCTTTTCATGTCTAAAAAGTTGTGGCCGCCTCAAGAAAAAAAAAATGGAGAAAAAAATACTTGGAGAAAAAAACTCTAGGACAAAAAAATCTTATAGGTAATTTGAAAGTTTATATCTATCTATATGCAAAACCAAGCCAGACTAGTATGGCATCATAATTGCCATAGTTGGATAGGCCCTCCTGTCACATCATCATGCATTGAGCTGAAGATGGTGTGAGTACAGGTAGGGAGTTCAAGCCCCAAGATACATCAGTTTTTTTTTTTTCTTACTGCAGTCAGCTGCTGCGCAGCAACTTTCAAGATGAAATAATCCTGTTAAGCCGCCGCAAGCTTGCCTTGCAACCGCTGGCAAGCCAACATTGAATGGTCAAGCCGACTGCGGGGGATTACACCCCCCGCTATAAAGCACCCCAAATTATTGGTTGGGGCCGCATGGGTCAAGCTGACGGAACCGCTTCCGTCAAGCACTCGTCCACCAGAGCCCGTGGTGTAGAAGCAGGCCTTGGAGCAATGTTTAATAATAAAATAAACACAGTCAAAGCTTTATAAGGGCATATATCCCTCTGGGGAGAAGGCTTTTTGGCATGCGTTTAAACAGGTTATGCGCTCATGAGAGGAAATGAATTTGCAGGAAAACTGGGATTTGGGGGAAGCTGTAATGGTGCATGCCCTTGTGCAGGTTTATATGCACCCAGGGAGGGATGCGCTTAGACAGGTTTCACCGTCTGGTGTTTTTCCATCCAAGAGGATTAAAGATGAGAAATAGACTTATTTGGGCTCATACCAGAAAAAATGGATTGGGTGGTGGGCACATGGGGCGATGATAATCACACTCCTCCCCCCTCCCCACACGCCCACGCCCCTGCCCCTCCAAAAGGGGTGTGCAATCCCACCCTCCCCTCCTGGAGGGGCGTGCAGAAGAACCCGCCCCTCCAGGAGGGGCGGGTGGGATTGCACGCCAGCCAAGAACCGACATAGGTCAGTTCTGGCCTGGCGGGTTGATTAAGCGAGGGGCGGGTGCTTTGACCCGCCCCTTGACAAGCTCGGAATGCTGATTTTTTTGAAAATCAGCATGCAGAGGGGCATGCAACAATCCCCACCCCTCCCTTTTGGGCGGGGATGCTACACAACCCTAAATTAGGCTGATGTAAGCAAGACACTCTGGAGTGTTTTGCTTACATCAGCCTTCCTATGGCCATGGAGACTACGCTCTCCATGGCCATAGGAAATGTACATCCGGCCAGCAGGGGGAGGAACCTCCTGGCCCACAGTTGACTGTTGGGAGGAAACCTCCCGGCCGTCGAAAGATTCCTCTCTGCCGTTGAGACTGTACAGTCTCAAAGACTGGGAGGAATCCCTCCCGGCCGTCGGGATTGTACAGTCTCGACGGCCGGGAGGAATTCCTCTCGGCCGTTGAGACTGTACGTCTTGATAGGCCGAGAGGAATTCCTCTAGGCCGTCGGGATTGTACAGTCTTGGTGGTTTGGCCACCAAGACTGTGTGTCTCAATGGCCAGGAGCAGCGGTGGGCCGCTATGCTACACTACGCTATGGGCCCATGTAGCGTTAGCGTAGCGGCACCTATTTTTTTGTGTAGTGTTAGCGCGCCGCTACGCTAATTTGTAGTGGCGCTAACACTAGCCATTTTTTGTTGTAGTGTTAGCGCGCCGCTGGCGCCGCTACGCTACGCTACAGTGTTTTTAGCGGCAAAAAACGCCTCAAAACCGCTAAAAATCGCTGTAGCGCAGCGTAGCGGGCAGTTTTTGGCGGCCTGTGCGTGTAGCGTTAGCGCAGATGGGGGGAATTGCGCTAACGCTACACTAAAAGTTAGCGCAAGGTTTCACCCCATGCGCGTAGCGTTAGCGTAAAAAATGAAAAAAGCGCTAACGCTACGCTAAATTTTAGCAAAAAATCGCTACACTAACGCTACGGTTAGTGTAGCTGGCCCACTGTTGCCGGGAGGGATTCCTCCTGGCCATGGAGACTTTACCCCTCCCGGCCAGGAGGGGCGTGCAGCCAGTCCTGCCCAAAAGGGAGGGGTGGGGATTGTTGCACGCCCCTCTGCATGCTGATTTTCAAAAAAATCAGCATGAAGAGGGGCGTTGTGGAACTACTCTTGGGAGGAATAGAGCTTGAGAGGGATGAGTGATTTATTGGGCTGCCTCTCTGATAACAAGAAAATATAAGAGTATGGACTCTTAAGGAAAGGTGTGGCTTTGGAGATTTCTTGAGGATGGTATGTCTAATATGTCTTATGTTTACTAGTCTAAATATACTTGTTCACAAATCAAGGTATCCCAAATGTTGATGGGCAAATACCTGGCTAATAATGGGTGATCAGTTATCTGAATTGCTGGGGCAGGATCTGATGAGGAACAAATGAAGGGGAAAAACAAAGCTCCTTATATACAAAATTCTGGGGAGTGACCAGCTTGTGGTTGGAAGATAAATGGAACATTCTATGAGAGCATGAAACAAGGGAAAATATTTATCCAGAGAAAACAGGGGAAACAAGCAGTGGGAAAATGCTCCCAAGGTTACTAGTATGAAACAACTAAGGGGTGGAATATTCCATGGAAGAAAATAGGAGGAGATAACAGTTTCATGGGCAAGGGGATTTTTACTAGTGTGAGACACAAGGAGAAAGAAGAATGGAATGTGTTTGGAGGAGAATGTGTTTCAGGGCTGTGGAGTTTCTGGCTGGGAAATATGATTATCCATGTGGTCTGTGCTTGAGGGATTCATGAGTGGTGTCTTGATTTGTTTGAGGGTCTGGGGAGCTTTCTGGGGTGCCTTGATCCTGTGATTCCTGTGTGATTTGTGCTCTTGATAACTTTGAATTTTCAGGAGTGGCTTACCACAGCGTGGAGCAAAACCTGCCCAAAAATACTGGCGGGTTCTACTCCACGCCCCTTCTGGAGGGGAGGGGGAGTGGGCGTGCAGGGAGGGGGGAGGAGTGCGATTATCATTGCCCTCCAAAAATGTATGAACCTTTGCCAAAATTCTGGATTTTACACATTACCCACATATCTGGGTGGTTTCCTGGGTCCTTGTCAGCTATGTGTATGCTACACTGGTTTAAATAATATACAAACCAGGTGCTATCACTGTGCTGAAGGACTATCAAAGAAAAGATTACTCTTTCTCACCCTTTATATGTGGTCCAAATTCCACAAAGGTGAAGTCCACACTCCGTAAACTTATTTTTTTCTAATGAACCAAATAACAGCAGATTATAACAATTAATAGATTTTTATAGTTGGATATTTAAAACAATAATAATTGCTAAGAAGCAGCTGGCAAGCACTTGAGATGATTGGATACTTGTCAGAGGTGGTAGTCTTGCAGCAACTGCTTTATAAGGAATTTTAGGGATGTATGAAAGGGGAATTTCAAAGTTACACACTAATAATTCCAGTAGTAAAAGGTTGGTTGGGTTTGGGATAACTACTCTAAAAGTAGGAGGAGAATATTCACTGTACAGTGGGTGGACCATTATTTTTGGCTGCTTGTTTTGGGCTTTACAGCTTCAAAGCACAAACTTCAAGTCACAGGAATTGGTGAAATGGTGCAGAATAGGTCCCAGAAAATGAATATGAAGAAATAAAAACAAAAAACAAAGTTTCAAAATTTGTGAAAATAAAAAATAAAAATGTTTTTTTACAAAAGCTTTGTTATTGATTTTGGGTGAGTGGGAGTGCTGAGAGAAAGAAAGAGTGGAACATGGTAAAAATGATTATAAATGAATAAAATTGGAACTAAAAAAGGGTGAGCCAGGTTGGCTGCCCTTGGGGGCATTCTTAGAATATTCTAGAATGTTTATTTAATGTACTACAATAGTAGTTCTCTCATGATGTAATGAGAATATTGTAGGAGATTAAACACAGTATTATCTATTTCCCCATGACATCATGATGCATTGTTATAGCCAATTACTTCATGTGTCTACCTATAATAGAATAATACTGAGGGAAATTACCACACACTTGACAAAGGTGGTAATTTCTACAATTTTGAATTATAGTTACACTTTTAGTTGTAACTATATGTTTGAATATTTCCTTTTATCTTTATTTTATATTCTGTTTTAGATTATTTTATATTTTTATTCCTACTAACCTCTAGGCTGTTGAGTTATGACAAATTCCTAGAAGGATTATGAATTTGGAGGTGGTTCCAGTGAGCAATCCCCTCTAAAATATTATGAAAAGTTTATTTATAAAATAATATCCTAGGTTTTCTTATTATTGAAAGGTATTATTACAAGTAATTTATTATTAAGCAGTCTTTTGGATACTCTTGAGGATCTTTAAGGCTGACAGTCCTAATTGTGCCTACAAACCCTAGCCAAACATGGGAGCCATTGGCAGAAAATCAATCTCCCATCCTCAGTCTTCATAAAATATCACCCATCAACCACAATAAAACTGGTGTTGATGTCTTAGTTAAACTGGAATGGACAACTCCACTGCTCACTGCTTCTACCACCATGAAGGCCAATTTAAGCTGAAGGTGCCAGCCAAAGCTGAGAGGGTCCCTGTGAGGTGGTATCAACTGGGGCCCCTCCAATTTTGCGCAGGAGGGTATAGACTTGGAAGCTCAGCACTCAGTCTCCTAAAAAAAGAACACTGCTCACCCACATGATACATAAGGATTTCCTCACAATTTTTTTCTAATGCATGTGGTCAGATACATACCTGAATAAGTATTTTGGAGGAAAAATTCCTTGAACCCATTGGATTCTCTGTAACACCTTCTCCCTTTTTCTTTTTTGAAAATTAACCACAAGATGGGACCTGATGATGATACTGAAAACATTTATCCCAGCCAAATTAAATCAATAAAAGTGAATAATACATCTAGTCCCATCATTGATAGTTCCAATAAATGAATAAACGTCTCAGAGCAAAAATTAGGAATCTTGAAATACTTAAGGAGAAGGGAATTTTTTTTTGCTTCAACTTTGACTTTATATTGAATTTTGGTGTAACACTCACTCATACCCTTGCTTTGAAAATTGAAAAAAAATGGGAGAACTTGTCAAAAACAAAATACAATTCCAATTGGACACTAAAATTTACTAAATTGTTGAAATGATTTAAGAGGAGTATAGAATAAGAATCTTTACTAAATTTCCATGTTGAAATAGGAAAGTAACCACTTGATCATTACAATAGCTGCAGTGCCTAGTAGAATTCTTGGTAGTAAATTCTCATGAAGGAGGACTGGCACATAATGCTGAGAAGACATTTAATCTTCCAATCAACTCAAGGTCATAGCTGCTGTATGGAACCTAAATCTGGAAAATAGAAAGAATTCACAATTACTGGATCAGATGAATCAAATTACATTGTCCCATACAATCCTGAATGTTGAATAAACTAAATGAAAAGGAATATTCTTTGGAAAATAAAACAAAGATTCACTGGAGGTTTTACTACATGGTTGATAGTATAAATGTTGTGACATTATTCAAGGGTAATGAATTATGGTGTTCAAAGTTAAATATACAAAGATATATGCATGCATATTTCATGTTAAATGATCAAATCTTGTTGCAGGGAATCTTGACAGCCTGATTATGTCCTCTGGAGGTTTGCCACCAAACAAGATTTGACTATTCATGAAATATACATGCATAATGGTTTGCATATTTAACTTGGAACACCATAATATTTGTGTGGCCAATTTTTCACAAAACCATTTGTAGCAATAATGATCATGTGATCAATGATCAACAAGACCAGGAAATGCTCATGTGATTGATGCTCATCCAGGCCTCACCTTTTAGTCAATTTACACAGTTTCCCAATTTTGCATCTATCTTATTTGAGCTAATCAAATAGTATACATTCACTTAAACTTATGCAGTAGCCGGGTTCATGATTGACATATCACAATTTTTGAAACCCATTTCAAGGCCTTTGTCAACAACATTTTAAAAGATTTACAAGGTGAGCGGTTTTGGGGGGTTCCTGAACAGTACACACAAATTTTTAATTCTTGAAAAAAGTGTTGATAAACAACTTGATTAAGTGGGATCCAAAATTTGATAAATTTCAATCATGAACCCCACTAGTTTGACTGTAATGAAAAGGTGTTCAAAATTGAATTTAACCAATTTCTAAATTAGTGGGAAAAACGTGTGATGGTGTTAGTCTGTTAGAGCATACACATTGGTTGAGCAGATTTGGTAGGATTAGTGAGCTTGGCAACATGTGAACTCAAACCAAGAATTAGCAAGGGTTGGATTTGTACTCTGCTAATCCAAATCCCACTACTAGGAATTGGATTAGTTAAATCCAGTTCAATTGATGCCAACATGGTTGAGGGGTGGGATTAATCTGCTAATCCACCCTAATCTGGTCACTGATGTGGATGCTCTTGGAATTTACCCCAAGTTATCCTGCAAATAATATAAGATCTGAAAACCTATTCAATGTTTGATTTAGGTCTAACAAGTTACTTGTAAATGAATTTTGAATGAAATTTTAACATCATTGCGTTTGTAGCTCATCTCTTTAAGGTTTTTTATGTAAAACCAGTTTATGGAGTTTGTACTTTAACAATAGCCCTATAAATAAAGTATGACAGAGAAGAAATTACATTTATCTGTTTGACAATGTCTATTTTATACACTATTCTTTCAGCTGAAGTCAGGTCTTCTCTGCATAGTATAGTGTGCAGCAGGCTGACATAGCCTAAGGGAAGAAAGAGAGCTTCATATTATGTTGGCAAAATATTTTAATAGAAAAAATAACAAGTATGTGTGTTGCACTCAAAAAAAGAAAAAAAGAGATGCTCCCATGTGAGTCAAGAGTGACAAAATCTAGCAGAGTGTGTTGTATGAATGGGAAGAGAGCAACAATGTTGAAATCTAGAACATTTTCAAACAAAAAAAGCCAAATAAACAAAGACATGACTTATCTTATCTGAAATAATTCACAAGCTTGAATGGCATTATGAGTAGCTTGATAGAACAAAGTGTTCCAGGTAACAATCCAATTTTTGTAGTAAATTTGTGATAGAACATCTTTGATCTTGGTAAGTAAAGGGAAAATGCTGTGCCTGTGGGGCTTCCGGTTGAGGTATCTGGTGATCAGTTACGGCTTGGTTCTTCTGATCTGATACGGTTTCTGCGGGCTTCTCGGTAGGTAAAGCTTGATCAAGTAACCTGTCGTCGGGCATGTCTTCAGGCAGCTTCTCATAAGACACTCCGGTTTGAGTGACAGCTTGAGGTTTTATCCCGGCGGTAGCTTGAGGCTCCGTCTCGGCGGCAGCTTGAGGCTTGGTTGCGGCGGCAGCTTGAGGCTGGGTCTCGGGAGATGCTGTCTGACTCTCCGTCCCAGCCAGCCGATATTGACTCATGAGTACGGCGGGTTGATCAGGGAGGGAAGATGGTGGTTTCCAGGTGGAGTGGTGTGACTGGGGGCCTGGGAAATCGATCGAGGTAGATCTTGGGATGGCTGCGCGACTGCGCGAGGTCGCGACTGCCCTATCCAAGCTTCAACACTTTGTATAACCAGATGATCAAGAAGCAATTACCACAACCGTGAACAGATATACAAATTGCAGTGGTCCAGATTTGAAGGCAGGCATAATATCACTTTGGAATCTTTCCAAGTTGAATCAGTATTCTGGTTCATATTTTCTTGAAATTGCACTGGATCTTTCCGGTGTCCCTCTCAGTGTTTCTTTTCCTCAAACAGTGGAGAAATTTCAAGGGCTAAACTGCGCTTATGCGACTTGATTGAGAGTGATGGGAATTCATATTATTTTTGATGGGCATAAGGTAAGGGGATTAATATACAACAAAGTTTTCCAATACAGACCAATACAAGAAAAGAAGGCCATATGGACTGATTCAGCAGGGATATTCCCATGGCGGTAGTTCAACTTCAACTCGGCAGATGGGGCAGCCCAAGTGTCCTTCTAGCCATTTCTGGAGTAGAGAGGAAGTGGATTGAAATCAGATATGAAGTATGAAAAGTGAAGTAAAGACGAGTTTGCTTACCTGAATGCAGTCGCGGTGAAAAAGGTGGGAAGGATGACATGGAAGCTGGATCAGACTTTTTTCAGGGTTGGAGAGCTCATCAATGCAAACCGTGCAGTCGGAAGCTTCGCCGTCGGGGTTTGATGGCAGAGCGGCGGGAGTGGTGTCGGAAAGAGTGTCCAATCTTTCTTCAACCAGAATACTTCGCTTCCTGCGGGAGACAACCCGAGATTTCTCCAGTTCATCAATCGCACGAATCCAATAAAACCACACGTCGAACAAGGGCTCGGCGATTTTCCATTCCAAACGTTCCAAGAGGTCATCAACTTGATCGACATAGCGAGAGTTGTGAGCCTGTTCCTCGACATTGAAGCGAGTTCGGAGAGGGTCGCGGTACAACTCGCCATAAGCCTCTTGCAAAGACGCGATGAAAAGTTTAAAAAACTCCCGATCTTCAGGTCCGAGGGGCGCTAAAGCCTTGTCCGTCATCTTTAATATGTGTTGATCCATTTTTTATTATTTCGAGTATTAGAATGAGGTTTTTCTTATAAGGGTCTGGAAGAAGATGGGATGGGATGGGATTAGATGGGTGAAGTTGTTGTCGGGAACTGGAATTGGGGAAAAGATTGCTGCTGCTGGAACCGCTCTTCCATTTAAACCTTTGATCAATGCTGAGCCTGGCTCCATCAGCACTTGCAGCAGGCCTCGAGAACAGAGGGCTCTTGTGTATCTTACATCCTTTGTGTTGGCAGCTGTATAGTAGGATTGTTTTGCCTTTCATCATTGCTGCTGAGCCTAGCTTTGGTAGCAACGGCCAGCAGGCATGTAAAGTAGGCTCATTTCGCCTTTCATCATTCTGAGCCTGTCTTGGCAGTGAATTGAACTGAAATAAAGTGTAGACGTTGAGGTTCTGAGCACGTTTACAGCTTACATGAATTGCTTTGGCTGCTACGGATGAGTCTCAGCTTTACTTGAAGTGTGCTGTAACTTCCAGTGAGTTTCACGAGGAAAGAAGCGTACAAATGTGAAGACTGGTTTCTTTTTCTTGAAGACGTACCAGTTATTCTTCTACTGTGAGTGGGACCTTTAGAGCCGTGTGCGTTCAACGAAAGTAGCTCCTTCCCCTTGCTGGTATTAGTATTTTTAAAGCCTCCGCTGAGGTGCTGAATTACAAAATGAACGCGCTGTTGTCTTTTTGGAAGATTGTATGTTTCCGTTTTTTGATTATATGATCAAGATGTAAAAACTCGCCAAATTTAGCTTGAGCCCTTTGGTTTCTTTGACCACTAGAGGTAAATTAGCAGAAACCCTCTCTCGGCGTCTGTCCACCTACGGAAATCAAGCTTTCAGATTGAATCCATCTTTGTGTGGAGACCAACAGAGCTGGCCCAATCAAGGATAACAAATCCCAGTACCTCTAGGGAAAAGGTCCGCGGCATGAGAGCCGCATGAAAACAGCATCAGCTGGAACCTGAGATCAGCCTCAGCGGAATCTGAAAAGGTTTCAAATTGGTTCAAGATTTCTTTTTCATTTATGCAGTATCTATCTCATGGAGTAATTTCTCTGCGGGGATCTCTTTCCCACCCTCGCAGAAATTTCCTACCCTTCTTTGGGATTGGACCGGCTCTTCCGGTTCCTCCACCCAGATAAAGTCAATCGGAAGGCTTGATTCCTGGAATGGAAAATGAGACAGGTTTACAGGTAATTGATGTCTAGGGGTAGAAGAAACGGAAGGTTTCCAATTGAGCTCGGACAGCTTTTTCATCTCGATCATATCGAAAAACGCGAAATACATTTCACAAAACGACAAGAACGCGTTCATTTTGTAATTCAGCACTTCAGCGGAGGCTTTAAGAATACTAATACCAGCAAGGGGAGCTATTTTCGTTGAAAGCACGCGGCTATAAATATCACACTCACAGAGGAAGAATAACCGGTACATCTTCAAGAAAAAGAAACCAGTCTTCACCTTTGTACGATTGTTTCCTTGTGTAACTCACTTGAAGTAAAGTGACACTCCTCTGTAGCGGCCAAAGCAATTCATGTAAGCTGTAAACGTGCTCAGAACCTCAACGTCTACACTTTATTTCAGTTCAATTCACTGCCAAGACAGGCTCAGAATGATGAAAGGCGCAATGAGCCTACTTTACATGCCTTCTGGCCGTTGCTACCAAAGCTAGGCTCAGCAGCATTGATGAAAGGCAAAATGATTCTACTCTACAGCAGCCGGCACAAAGGATGTAAGCTACACGTAATCCCTATACCGTCAAGGCCTGCTGCAAGTGCTACTGAAGCCAGGCTCAGCATTGATCAAAGGTTTAAATGGAAGAGCGGTTCCAGCAGCAGCAATCTTTTCCCCAATTCCAGTTCCCGACAACAACTTCACCCATCTAATCCCATCCCATCCCATCTTCTTCCAGACCCTTATAAGAAAAACCTCATTCTAATAATCGAAATAATAAAAAATGGATCAACACATATTAAAGATGACGGACAAGGCTTTAGCGCCCCTCGGACCTGAAGATCGGGAGTTTTTTAAACTTTTCATCGCGTCTTTGCAAGAGGCTTATGGCGAGTTGTACCGCGACCCTCTCCGAACTCGCTTCAATCCCGAGGAACAGGCTCACAACTCTCGCTATGTCGATCAAGTTGATGACCTCTTGGAACGTTTGGAATGGAAAATCGCCGAGCCCTTGTTCGACGTGTGGTTTTATTGGATTCGTGCGATTGATGAACTGGAGAAATCTCGGGTTGTCTCCCGCAGGAAGCGAAGTATTCTGGTTGAAGAAAGATTGGACACTCTTTCCGACACCACTCCCGCCGCTCTGCCATCAAACCCCGACGGCGAAGCTTCGGACTGCACGGTTTGCATTGATGAGCTCTCCAACCCTGAAAAAAGTCTTATCCAGCTTCCATGTCATCCTTCCCACCTTTTTCACCGCGACTGCATTCAGGTAAGCAAACTCGTCTTTAGTATTTACTTCACTTTTCATACTTCATATCTGATTTCAATCCACTTCCTCTCTACTCCAGAAATGGCTAGAAGGACACTTGGGCTGCCCCATCTGCCGAGTTGAAGTTGAACTACCGCCATGGGAATATCCCTGCTGAATCAGTCCATATGGCCTTCTTTTCTTGTATTTGTCTGTATTGGAAAACTTTGTTGTACACTAATCCCCTTATCTTATGCCCATCAAAAATAATATGAATTCCCATCACTCTCAATCAAGTTGTATAAACGCAGTTTAGCCCTTCTCCACTGTTTGAGGAAAAGAAATACTGAGAGGGACACCGGAAAGATCCAGTGCCATTCCAAAATAGAAAGTATGAATTGGAATACTGATTTGACTTGGAAAGGTAAAAATGGTCTTTCATTTTATTTGAAATCAACTAGGAAGATGCTTTGTAAGAAATTATCAATTTCAAGAAGTGGTCACATATCTGGTAATAAGTTGTGGAGATCACCGCGCTGTTGAAGCTTGGAAGGGGCAGTCGCGACTCTGCGCAGTCTCACAGCCACCCCAAAATCAACCCCAATTGATTCCCCAGGCCAGTCACACCACTCCGCCGGCAACCACCATTTATCCCCCCCTTTTTTTGGGGGGGGGGGAGGGATAAGCTTAGAATGATCTAACTTGGGTAAAGTATCCCTTGGTGGAAGGCTTACTTTTTGTCATTGGCCTCCTGCAGGGAAAGGCTGGCAAATGAAGTCAATTTATTTGTGGGTGAAGATCATCACATTGGCTGGTGCCAATGTTTTGTAGCTCAACCACCACACCATCTTGGTACAGAAGTGGAGTGCTGCGCTACACCAAAAGGAAACAGTGCAGCTTTCCGCCCTTGGCTTTCCATTTCCATATATCAATTGTGGTGCCATCTGCTGGTTTCCAGGTTTCCTATAAGCTAATCTGTTGATTGTGAATTTTTCCAGGGATATTATTTTTATAGAATCAAATATGGGATAATGTTTGTTTACATGGTTGTGATAGAAATATTGCTGAAATTTATAGCCCAGATGAATTTTCAAGCCATGTAAAATATCAGAAAGAGAAACCATAAAATGATCATTTGTTTTACATATACCACAATGCCTTGGAAACAATGGGCAAAATAGATTACCAACTAAAACCCTTCATTTATGACTTATCATTTTCTGATCAGCAAATGCCCATACCCTCATCAGGTCTGGTGTCCTTGAATACCAATCTTTTTGGGTTCATACATTTATTGGGACCAAGTGTCTCAGACTCAGAGTGACAGTTGAATATCAAAGTATGCATGTAAACAGATCTGATCAAACAGTCAGAAGCTCATATGTGGTGCTCAAGAATTGGCAAAGAGATGGTCCCAAGTTAACCTAAAGACTAAGAGTTTCTAAATTTGCTGGGGTCTATTGCATAAATTGGAAACAACATGATCACTCAATCTGTTTGATATAATTTACATGCCAGGAGGGCCTTGTGAGTGGCTTGGGATAATAAAGTGTTCCAAGTAACAATCCAAGTTTTCAAATAAATTTGTGATGAAAAAAACATTTATCTCTGTGAATAAAGGAGCAATGTACAGGTTGACAAGAAGCAAACAAGATTGAAAATGAGATATAAGGTCCTTGACTGTGTCACTCAGACCTACAGCAGATTGTGGAGCATATTCATCATGATCTTCCAAGGAACACACTAAACTGAAAACGGATTCTTCGATTTTTTGAACTGTTGTTTCAAATAAGCTGAGTTGATTAGAGGACATTTCTGTAAAGAGAGGTGCATTCTTTTTGTCCATTCCCTGTGATGCGATTTTTTTTAAAAAAACATCTTGGATAGTTTGATGAGTGGTAAGAAGGCTTGAGCGAGCTGGATGATTGGTTGTATCCAATTGTTTTCTGGATGCGCCAGCACCGATAGGTTGTTTAATGAGGTATCTATTGCTTGCAGCTCATCTTGCCAATAATCATAGATCATCACCAACAATGAAACGATGCAATGCTGACAAATTTTTCCAGCATTTCATTGTTCCAGGACTTGTTGTTCCAGTCTGATCCCTCCATTTGGATTCCTATTAAATACTATTTCCCTCCCCCTATATTTTTGTGCATCCACCACACTAATGGTATTGCATTCCGCGCTTGGCCAGTTGTGTGTTTTGTTCTTTCAGGGTTCCCCATAAGGAAGTAAGCCTTGCCAACCACTGAAGGTAAACGGCTTTAGCCATATGTTGTACTCTTCTTACTGCTCTCAGTCTCTCTTATCTTTTTCTCTACAGTTAAACTATCTTCTATTGCAGCTCTTGGCCATAGCCACAGTTTTACTGCCGGTTGTGGCCTTGTTGTCTTTTATTTTCCTTACTTGTTTATTCAACTATGTATGTGTATTATATTACTAAACTTGGGCCGTATTCCTACCAGTTCGGAGAACCTCTTGTATTGCTAAGTCACATCCAATGGGACTCCTTGTAAATTGTGGGCAATAGCATTTGACATGTTGATGATGTGATTGCTCGCCAGCATCAAGTTGTAGGAAAATACTAGTGGACTTAGTTAAGGCTTCATTGTTACATATCCATAGCCACAGTACAACTGGGGCTATGGAAGAAAGTAGCAATAGAAGATGTTTAAACAGGGTGTCATGGTGGAATTCTGCTACGCTACGCTTAGCGCTAACGGGAATTCCGCTGTGTTATGCTACACTAACCACTACGGTTAGTGTAGCAGCCCACTGTTGCTAAGACCCCCCCCCCCCTTGAAGATTGTTCTTATATTACACAGGCATGAATCAAGAATTCATATGACTTGGAGAAAAAAAAACCATCTCATTTCCCAATCTGATTCACATCAACCCTGGCAGGAATGGTGTTGACTATTTACATGTATTCCTCCCAAAAGATATCAAGACAAGAAATGATCTGATCCAAAATATGTTGCTTATAATTTATCATTCTTTCTCCCTAAAAATATGTGATGATTCCAGTGTTTGGAAAACCAGTACAAGCTGTAGCAGTTCATGGCACAAGGAGATTTGGTCCTATCCAAGCTGGTACAGGTTGTACCTGCTTGCCAAGGATGTATCTGTTTGACTTGCCCTGTATATGTGGTCACCATCAGGCCAGTGAGGAGGCAACTTGTTAGATTACCCTCAACACCAGCACAAAAATTGAATCTCATATTTGGTCACTCAACCCACTTCCAACATCCAATTATGGACTTCAAGGTGTTCCAGCAGTCTTTGGGGTTGTTCTGACAATTGTTACAGGCTGTTTAGTCACTGTCCAATTTTGTATGGGTGAACAAATAACATTTATTGCGCATACATGCAGAAGTAGCATATGAAATCACTGGAGGACTTCCTGTTGTCTAGAATTGATCATTCAGAAGGCAAAGTCCTGAATGTTCTTTGGTGGTGAAAACTGAACAAGATCAAGTTTTCCCCAGTCTACAGTATAAGGTTGAGGACCCCCTTCTAGATCAAGCAATGTGTGTGACAGGAAGTCCTCCCTTAGCACTTGAGAAAAAGCACAACAAACCTGTGGTTTTGAGGGTTGTTTTGGAAACCTAATTAAATTATCATCCACCCAACATCACAATCTGAATTTTGATTCAATTTCCACACATCATCCAAAAGACCCCAATCCTGAGATGCCTGCTTCAAGTCATTGACATTCACATCACTTGCAAGTTGCCTAGTTTTCTTAAGGTAGCTTTTGCTTTTTTTTTGTGGGGGAGTCATAATCACATGAGGAAACTCACCTCCCTGATAAATATCAAATGATTCACATCCAAGGAATCTTTCAGATGACCCAACACTCTGTTGAGATGCTGCCCCCCCTTTAGAGAACAAGAGGGGCTCCATGCCCCGAGACGCGCGACGCAAAGCGTTGATATGGTTTTCAATGTAGCGCGGGTGAGACAACTCACCATCGAACCGTTGCAAACATTGCCAATCCATCAAACCTTTCTCTCCTTCAACCAGCGTCTCCAGTCGCATCCTTCACTCTCAAAAATGGCACGTTCCGCTTCAAAGGATGATACGCCTGAGCCAGTGGGCACGCGAACTCTGAGGCAAAGGCGAACAGCAACCGTGGTGACTACGATTCCTGACAGTGACGACTCTTCTAGTGATCTAAGCGATCCACCTTCCCCCGACCCATTGGAACTTTCGGATGGAAGTGATAGCTCAGATGATCGAGCAGGAAAGAAGCGCCAGAGACTGAAAAGGGGCAACAAGAACCGGACTAGCAACCCAGAAAATGTTCGAAGGAGTACCCGTGATACCCGAAATCGAACCAAGTATGACTTTTCAACCGGGCTGGAGGACGATGAAGGCGATCTAGTCGAAGACAAAGTCGAAACTGATCCCTCCACAAAGAAAAGAAGAGGTCGACCCAGTCGCAGAGCAGTCGAATCTAGCGATGAAGGTTCTGAGGAAGATGACTTGCTGGAATTATCTCGCGAAAATGCATCCAGTCGCCGTTCCCGACAAGTTACCAGTGCTCACGCCAACACCAACACTTCTGACAAGGCATGCGACGAGCATCAACCAGTAAGTCAAGTCATAGAGAAATTTGTTACTGGTGCTTTTATGAGGTGAGTAGCTCTAACGTCGCCATATTCAATAATTCACAGACATGCTCCAGATGCTCCGAGAAATACGAGCCCAATCTTGTACAAATTTGGACCCGAACCAATAAGAATCGTCGGGGTAAAGCGAGAGCTGGTAGCTTACTGGATCGTTACCAAAGCCTTGAAGATGTGTACAGACAAGGCTGTTGGTTAGAATGTTCAACCTGTACCAGCTCATACCATTTTGGATGTTTACCGGTGGATATGAAGAAAGATATCACCTCTCAGCATAGGAAAGAACGACTAGAGCTAATCAGACAACGAGATGCCCAGGATCCCAACATGGACGACAAATCAATTGAGATTCCACCCGATAAAAGAGAACAGCAGCCTGAGATCAAGTTATCCCTTAAATGTCCGGCATGCGTCAAACCATACGGCTGTCAATGTATGATATGCGGCAAACATAACTCTACAACCGAAGTAGTGCAAGATGAGGTCAAGACGACTCCAACTGCCGAAGCTCAACAAAAAGATGGTGGGGAAGCTTCAACAGTCAACGGCAAATCGCAGGGGTCTCCCGAGGAAGTAACTACCTCCAAACTATCCAAAGAACCCATAATCTTTAGATGTACGAGCTGTAAACGGGCCGCTCATTACAGTTGCTTACCCGCTGTTGGCGATGAATATCCGACCGAGTTAGAAGATATTGCAGAATACTGGCAGACGGATTGGACGTGCGCCGAATGCGACGAATTGGCGGAGATTTCGGTGGAAATCATCCTTGCCTGGAGGAAGCCGGTACCCAAGGCACTCGATCCCATCAAGGATTCACAGTCTGCAACTCAGGAGTTGACTGGATCTTTACACGATCAACCAAAAGGCAGATCGAAAGACTCTAAACCTCGCTCAGCTCTTCCTAACCCTAAAGATCCATTCGAACAAGCCGAGTACTTGTGCAAGTATGAAGACTTTAGCTTTACCGATTGTTCTTGGGTCACCCACTCGTAAGCGGTCTTGACAAGTAATATCGAAATCCTCCGATTTCCTTCCGTGCTGTCATGGCTGAACGAGCTTGTGCTCGATTTTTCCCAGGTACCTTGTTGCTAAGCATCCGGCCAAATTGCGAAACTTCTTAACGAAAGGTCCCGCCCTAGATCTAAAGCAGTTCTCGGGTGGTGACTTTGATGATTCAGGTGACTCTGATTCAGATGCCAATTCTGACGATGATGGCGGCTTGCCGTTCAATCTGGATCCTGATCAAGACGCTCAACTGAAGATACCCAAGGCTTGGCTCACGCCTGAGAAGATTTTATCGATCGAATTCGAAGATGAACTTCTAATCGAAGATGCTAAAGAAGCCGATATTCCAGATACACCCGAAGAGATGTACGAAACGATGGACCGAGCTTACATTAAATGGGAAGAGCAAACTTACGCTGATGGTAATTTGTTTCCCTAGTTATTCCCGGTCACGCTAAGAGCTAAACACCGACTCATCCTTTTTCTTCTAGCGACTTGGTCTGACAAGACACCCAAGGACTCGCCATATTTTCCAGCATTCATGTCAGCTTTGAAGAGGTTTATGCAATTCCGAAAATTTGTTGTTCCTACAGTCAAGAGCTCGACGGAGCTCGCCAAATTGGACACGCCTCGTAGAGAAAGCTCCTTTTCTGCACTGGAGAAACAGCCGGATTTCATTCCTCATCAACTGATGGGATTCCAATTGGAAGGAGTCAACTTTTGTTACTAGTCAGTCCGATATTCAGATGTACCTCTCGTGTTACATAACTCACTGATTCTTCCTTTTTGGAACAAAGCAACTGGCACCGACAACATCCCACGATTTTAGCTGATGAAATGGGTTTGGGTAAAACGGTTCAAATCTGCTCGCTGATTGCCGTTCTCAAGAATAAGGAAAGACGCATGCCATTCCTGATTGTGGTACCGAACAGTACACTTGGAAAGTACGTCAACTCCTAGTTATTTTGCGCTGTCTTTTTGTTGATCATGAACAATTTTCCAGCTGGTCTCGTGAATGTGCCAAGTGGATCCCAGATGTGAAATGTGTTCCACTTCCAGGAGACTCTGATTCGTGCGAGGTGGTCCAGAATTGGGAGCTATTCAAAACTTCAGGGAAATCCAAGCGACAGCTCGCAGCATCCGTTGTGCTAGCCACTTACCAGTCTGCAGAGAAGCATGCCAATCTGCTCCGAGAGGTTCAACGCTGGGAAGTCGTCATTGTCGATGAAGGTCAACGTCTGAAATCTGGTGCCAAGGGCGGCTTGTTCAGGGCCTTGAGTAGTCTGCGAGTTGGTCATAGGATTTTGATGTCTGGCACACCGCTTAATAATAACTTAGGAGAACGTATGTGCACACAAAAAAAATGTGATCCTACGTTTCCCGTAGTGGCTAATATTCTCATTACCTTTTTTTAGTTTTCAACTTGCTCGCGTTTTTAAATCCTGACGAGTATCCTCCTGACGTCGTTGAGGAAATGGAGCTTCGATATTCTGCGTGAGCTCAATCAATGTTCAGGCCTATGGTACGGCACTCACTCCCAACCTATTTTCAGTTTGACACCGGAACTCATCGACGAGCTTCGAACGATCATCAGACCTTACATGCTCAGAAGTAAGGACATCATTCAAATCAAGATACTGTGCATTACCCTGACAGATTGAGCTGCGATCTCTGTAGGGACTAAGGAGACAGTCTTGGACCTTCCCCCCTTGACAGAAATCATCGTTCCAATTACCATGAGACCTTTACAGAAACAGGTAATGATTTTGTTTTTCTTGCTTTGAAAACCACTATTAAAAGTTTTAATCCCCCCCCCGTACCCATTCTACATTCAGGTTTACCGAGGGCTCCTCTCAAAGAATGCCAACCTCATCACGTCGATCTACTCTAAAGGTTCAAAACAAAAGAAAAGCACCCGGGCGGGCTTCCAAAACCTGTTGATGCAACTGAGGAAAACGCTGGGACACCCATATCTATACGATCCCGAAATCGAACCTAGCAATGTCCCCGAGGCTCAAGTCCAGGAAAACCTGGTCGAAGCTTCGGCCAAATTGATTTTCTTGCGAAAATTTATCCCGAAGCTTTTGGCACGTGGCCATCGGATGTTGATCTTTTCACAATGTGAGTCGCTGCTGGTTCGGATTCCTAGAGTCATATCTCTTGCATACACGAATGTAGTGTGATGTTGACCCTTGATCCTTCGGGTAGTCACCATGTTTTTGGATGTCATGGAACGATTTCTTGATGGTGAAAACATGGACTATTTACGTCTTGTATGTCACTTAAGCTTTTTTCTTCCTGTGCCATTTTTTTTGTTTACTCAAGTGCGTTTTCTGTTCAGGACGGGAACACTTCTCAATTGGACAGACAAACTCGGATAGATCATTTCAATCGGAAGAACTCCAATTACAACATCTTCCTACTATCAACCAGAGCCGGTGGAGCAGGTATCAATCTGGCGACCGCTGATGTGGTCATTGTTCTAGATCCAGACTGGAATCCTCATAACGATTTACAAGCCATCAGTCGCGCTCACCGGTTCGGTCAAAAAAAGCCAGTCTCAGTCTTCAAATTAATGGTCAAAGGTTCGGCGGAAGAGAAGATTGTTCAAACCGGCAAAAGAAAATTGGTGCTGGTATGTCTTTCTATACATTCCAGTGGTTCGATCACAATTATGAGCAGTGGTTTGACTGCAATCATCCTTACCACAGGATCATCTCGTGATTCAAAAAGCATCAGAAGAAGAAATCGAAGCAAATGATGTTGCTAGCATTCTTCAATATGGCGCCCAAGAGTGTTAGTATATCTCACGATTTTGTTCTAGAGTATTTTTGACTGATTTATTTCCTATTTTTCAAGTGTTAACCGCATCCGACGAAGCTCTTCAGAAAGACGTACGATATACCGACGAGGAGCTAGACGACCTGATCCAACGAACTGCCGAAGGTGCCAAGTCTAAAGAGTCCGCGGATGGACAATCGGCGAAACCTGACAAATCCTTCGCGTTTGCACGGGTATGGGAAGGTGGAGACAAAGGCTTGACGAGTCTCGAAGAAATCGAAGAAGACAAAGATGCCAGTAACGCTCAAGATCAACGGTCGTTTTGGGACAGCATCCTGCAAGCCAACGAGGCTGAGAGAGCCAAAGAAAACCAGGAAGAGAGTGGGACGGGTAGGGGACACCGAAGAAGGAAAGATGTTGATTACAATATGCCTCAGATAGACCTTATGCTCGATTCGCCCCAGAAGAAGGGTGGACATGACGATGATATGAGTAGCCAAGGGGATGACAACTACGAACCGATCTCACTGAAAGAAGTGAATAGCGAGTCGAGCGATTCCGAAGGAGAGCCCGAGGCTCTTCCGGATCTATTGGAACTTATCGCGCCGCCGCCGACCAAGGAGCAACTGGAGAAGAACCGGAGAGATGAGGAGCGAATCAAGGCTGATAGGAGGAAAGAACAATGGGACAAAAAGCTTGCTGGTTTACTTTCACAGCCGTCTTTACCGCCTGTGGCTAGCGGCTCGGGGAGCTCACAAGCAGCGAGCGGCCAAGGTCGCGTGGTCTACGATCCGGCCACCGGGACTTATTTGAAGAATGAATCGATGAAGAAGTCTTCCCAGGAGGCTCATAATCGACCTGCAAAAGTAAGCCAAGTCGGGTTGATCAGTCTGTCAGAGCTAGAAGGACTCAATAATGAGGAGCGTCGAAGCACGATGGATTCATTATGGGTGAGTTTTTTTATTTGGAAGGTTCTTTGTATGAATCACAAGTGGGATCTGATATATATTACGTCGTCATCTCATATCTTGTAATCGCAGTTCTGGCTCACTTCCAAGGCAAAGGCATTACAGAATCCAGCGCTTGACAAATTATTGAGTTCGGCAAGAAATGTAGGCCAGGTAGAACAGGTGGCACGGCTGAATGAGGCGAGACAGCTGGTCAAGCAACTGGTCCACAACCGACAAAATCTTGCGGAGAGGCGCGGATCACAAGTGGTTCCATCGCTGCCCGCCGCAACGAGCAGCAGTCAAATTCAACCACATCCTCATCCGCCAGCCAATAGCCATCGATCGTCATCCACTTCGCAATATCGCCCAGCCGTCTACCGACAAGCACCAGGCGCGATGATCCATCATCATCATCAGCAACCACCCCCACCCGCTGCCCAGTCATCTTCATATTACCAATCATCACCAGCCGAGATCCAGGCTCGATATGGGACTACTCATCATCACAACGGCTCATTGGTCGGACATCCTAACCAAGCTGGACTCAACAGTCTTCCCTCCGGCTCCGGCTCCGGCTCCGGCGGCTCTCGGATCCCCAATCCTGCTCTCTCCCACCTCCCGCCCCCCAAGTTTTCCCAGACTAATCCGCAATCTATTAAACCCTTGCTCACCCAACAAAATGCTAGCTTGTATCCGTCCTTCAATCGCCCTTCTTCCTCCTTGAAACGCAATCATAAGGGCGAATTTATCAACTGAATCCCTCTCCCAAGCGGCCTCTAATCATATATATATATATATCATTGGACTTATTCCAGTTATTGTCAATCCCTCTCTTCTTTTCTCTCTCCACAGTTTTAACTGGTCATCTGTCTCTCTCTCTTTTTTTTTTTTTTTTTTTTTTTTCTTTGGGTCTATCAGCCTTCAATTTAATCGGATCAAACCCTGTCTCTTGAATAATGTTATGTTTACCATGAAAAAAAGAAAAAGAAAAAAAAAAAAAAGTTATGAGGATGCTGCTTTTTTTCATTCTTATTATTCTTATTCTATGAGTTGATTCACTTTCACATGACACCCAACAAAACAAAACTGAAAGAAGAAGTGTACTAGTCTTCCTATTATTATACCTGATTTTTATGAACCTTAGCTAGCTTACCCCCCCCCCCCCAAAAAAAAAGAATAGTGAATTGTATGTGACTATATGTAAACAGTTGGTCTGGGTCTGTCTCTTTCTCTTTCTCTTTCTTGAGATGATGATGATGATGATGATGAAATGCAGTTCTTGTGGCTCTCCTCAGTCCTGGTGGTGGATGGTTGAGCAGAAGTTTAAGTTGATATGGATATGAGGGAGTGAGAGAGTGAAGCTCGATGAGACAGTCACAGGCGTTGAGTCGTGAGAAGTGCTGAAGCCGAAGCGTGCCGAGGGAGTCCCATTCCGACCAAGAACATCCATCATTTAAGCTGATTCCTTCAAGAAAATGAATTCTCCTTCTTCTTTTTTATTTTTATTCTTATTATTTTCATGAACTGAACTGAACAGAAAGAAACACGACAAGATGAACGAACACCAAGAACAGGCTCAACTGGAATACCAACAACAGCAGTACTACCAACAACAACAACAACTATACTACCACCAGCTACAATACTACTACCAACAACAACAACTATCCCCAATCTACCACTACCAGCCAAACTACTACCAACAACAACAACAACAACAGTATGACCTACCCCCATACTCAACTGGATTTTATCATCAACAGCAACAAGAGAATATTGAGCCATTCTATTACGACCAAGAACCACTACTCCCTCAACAGGAGTTCAATCAACTCTCTCAACTATCAACAATCCCAGAGTACCAATACTCGAGCCAGGCAAGACAGGTACTAGGGACCAGCCCAGAGGATAAAACTCTCCATCCACTCGAGATCAGAAGATGCTTCAACTGTGGAGACCCCAGCCACACCCTACTAGGCTGTCCATCCCAACGCAACCAGTCTCTCATCAAACTCACAAAGCAAATCTTCCAGGCCCACAACGAACACAACAACAATCTGAATCATCATCATCATCATCATGGCGATGAGTTCGAGGGCAGACTGAAGGATTTCCACTCTGAAGAAGAATCAGGGAAACAATCCCTCGAACGCCGGAGAACTCTCGCCGCTAGCTTCCGGCCCGGCAAGACCTCAGCACCGCTCAGAGAGGCCCTCTTCTGGGATCCTTCTCGTGCGCTCCCCGACGATAATCATCTGGACCCTTTCCGGCCGATGCCATGGTTTCAAGCCATGGAGAAATGGGGTGTATGTCCCCCTTCATCATCACTCTCTCCCCATCAAAAATAACCCCCCATAAGAAAACAGCAAATTCCTGAACATTACATCCCCCTCCCTCCAATATATATAAACAGTATCCGCCGGGTTACGCAATCCCCTTGAACGCCCAACACAATCCATTCAAACGGATTCTCGCTAGGATAGAAGACTCGAGTAAAGATCACGCCTGGGAATCGACGGAAATTCTAGAGATGCATCGAGGACGATCGCCGAGAGCAGAGGATAGTAGCGATGATGATGATGAGGAGGAAAAAGAAGAGATCCTCAGACTACTTGTCCCGGGTTATCCGGCACTCCGTCCCCCACCCCCACCCCCAGCAGCAGCAGAAGGTCCTCCTCTGGATAATCCCTCCTTCCTCGACCCCAAGCTCCTGCCCCCACTCCCGCCAGACAGTCCTCCCCCTCCCCCTCCCCCTCCTTCTACTCTACCGCCAACAGATCATCAACCGGCTATCCCCCTCAAACGGCTCGTCAAATATCGCGGCGGCAACTTCTCCAGCGACCGCTTGCCAGTCTATAACGGACAGATGATCTCCACCCAGGCCTATCTCGACTTCCATTCCGGTCATCCCTTCTCGTCCTTCAGACTTCCTCATCAGCAGCATCAGCATCAGCATCAGCATCAGCATCAGCACGCCAAATGGAAAAACGGCACCCGCAAGAATAGTCTGTTTAACCAACAACAACAATCTTATCAGCAGTTTGTTCAGCAGGACTCCCATTCGGGCCAGCCCAGTCTATCTACCAACTCGTCAGACTCGCCCAGCTCATCGACCGTCTCCTCCCCGATCTCCTGCCAGCCCAACCATTCTCCCGACTCGACTACTCAGGAACTCGCCGTCGTCCCTTCAATCGCTCACAGAATCACGAACAATAAGAAGCTTGACGCCGCCAATCATCCTGGTACTTATAAGCCGACTAAGAACCCTAGTAAGATCATCAAGCAGAGGTGGAAAGACGCCGCTCTTACCTTCGCTGCTGCTCAACTCAACCATCCTCATCACCATCGACACTCTCCATCGCCTACTGTCGTCCCTCCTCCTCCCCCTCTTCCTCATGATCTTGATCTTCCTGAAAGGCTTAGAAGGAAAGAGTTCGGACACAAGAAAAAAACCGGCGGCTCGGGCGGTACTAGTAAAGCGAAATACTACGTCGACAACGATCAGCCTTCTCCCTCCGCTCTTCACCATCACCATCCTTCTTCTTCGTTCAATCGTCACAATCTTAATGTCGCGCTGGATTATGGCGACGATGGCGAGGATGGTCTAGGTGGCGAGCCTTCGAATGCACTCCTTCAAGATCAAGATCAAGACCATCATCAAGAAGAAGAAGAAGAAGATAATGATGATCCAGATGATGATGATGATGATGATGATGACCAACGACGCCGATACCGATCTACACTTCCTTCGCCATCCTCCCGCTCCTCGTCCACCCACCACCCTCCATCTACACATCCTCATCCCCACCATCGAGACCAATCAGGAGCCGGCCATGAACCCCACCGTCATCCGTCCACGAACCTTCGCAAACGGCTGCGCAGCGCTAACTTCCATCTCCTCAGACACTCTAAACACCCTCCCCCGTCGCTCAAACATCATCCCAATCATCAACTTCACTCGGGCTCCCAGATGCCAATTCATCCGCCCGGGCTTCGCGCTCCGGCCGGCGGAAGGAGGAGGAAGAAACGCAAGCTTCTCATTCAGTCTTGACTCCTCCTTGCTTTCTCTCTTGGGTTATATTCCCCCGTTTTTTGGTTTGGCAGTTGGATTATCGTGGTGGGGGATCTCCTCTTCTTCTTTCTTTCTCTCTATCTGGTCACCAAGATCGATTCATTCTTTTGTTTTTTTTTTTTTAAAAAAAGGCATCTTTCCTTTTTCCCTTGATTTCTTTGATAAATCTCGTGTGGTCTCAGTCTTCTCTCTCTCTCTTATCTCCAACCTCCCACTTCTTTTTTTCTTTTTTTTTAAAAAAATGGTGTGAGTAGATTCCAAAGCATTTTTTTTGTTTGTTTTTTTTGGTTTGTTATGATTGTTGTATTTCTTTCTTTTTTTTTTGGTTAGCAGGTGGAAGGGAGATGGGGGGGAGGTGGAAAGGAAGGATGTGTTGGATAGTAGGTGGAGAAGAAGAAGAAGAAGAATAAGAGGACTAGTAACCCACAAAAGCAGTAAAAAAAAGCCCCGCAAACACAGGATTCCAAAGCTCACTCCATAAAGAAAGATGGGAAACAATAACTGGATGGATCCAGCAGGTATCAGAAGAATCTTTGAATACTGTACTGTGTGTGCAGAAGAAGAAGAAGAAGCTGGGAAAATGGAGAGGGAAAAGGAAGTGCCAGAAAAAGTAGTTACATCACTTTGGGACTGCCATTTTGTGTACGCAAAAGGGCTTGTTCAATATCCATTGATAATCATCAGCATCTCTGAAATAGATTTGATACATATATCAGCTTTTTTTTCTCTTTGGTTGCTCACACTTTTTTTTGGAAATCGTGGATGGCCAAATAACTAGGATGGCTTTGTTTTTATACTGTATCTGATATGTTCACAAAGAAGAAGAACCCCCCCCCCCCAAAAAAAAATGAAGAATGTTCACACAAAGGATTGATTCAATTTCATCTTTTTTTTTGGGGGGGGGGACAAGAAAGAAGGATCTGGTGCAGGCAAAGGAAAAAAAGAGAGGGAAAAAAAGAGATAGTTGGAAGGAGCCAATCAGTCTGCAATCACAAGTCGGAGACTGAGGATTGCAGGAGGAGAGTATTGCCAGCTACATATACTCACAGAGTGTTTGGATTGATTTTGTGGTTTTTATTCTGGATGGTAGAAAAGAGCGGGATAGGCCACTCTCATTTCTCATTTCTATATCATATCATCAACCGCCTTATCTCTCCTGCTCTTAAGCTGGTTTGGTTATTTTTCTTTTCTTTTTACAAAAGTTACTGTTTTCATATTTTTTCATCTTATATACACTACATTGGGTGGTGGAAAATAGACCGATTTCCCTGAGGCTTTTTTCCAAAATGACTCTGGGAGTAAATTTTTTCTTTTAGCTCATTTAATGAGGCATTTTTATTATTTTTTTTTGGCTAAAATAGCTCATTTTGGCCTGATTTTTACTCCTGAGCAACTGTGGGCCAGTTACACTAACCGTCGTGTTAGTGTAGCATAATTCTGCCACATCTTGCACTGACACTACGCGCATAGGCTCCAAAAAAGGGCCCACTACGCTACGCTAACACGCTGGTTAGCGGTTTTTTGGCCCTCTAGCGCAGCGTAGCGTAGCAAAAATCCACTAACACTACATATTTTTGGCGTAAAAAAAAGCACCGCTACGCTACGCTTTTTGGGCCAAAAGCGTAGCGTAGTGGCCCACTGCTGTCCTGAGTCATTTTGTAAAAAAGCCTCAGGCAGATTGATCTATTTTCCACCACCCAAATGACAATTTTTTCCTGGGGCAAAGCTGGTATTGTTTGTAGTGTTATCACTGCCCCTTGACAACCACAATGTGTAATTTGAAAGGGGGTGTATGCTGATTCTATGGATTGTTTGATATTGCTGTTTGGGGGATTGGTTCAGGTAGTGACAAAAATATTGTGCAGCAGGTGATTTTAACCTTTTGATGAATATATGCCACATTTTATCAATGGAATTTTTTATGGTAAGCCATTGGGACTATGTGAAGAAGTTGTGTAGGTGGGGCTTGGGATTGGGCTGTGATGGGCCAGGTTCAGAGGGGCCCTGGTCTGAAGAGTCTTGCACAGGAATGCCACCTTTGTATATGTAGATTATTTCCCTTACAGGGTGATTACATGGCCGTCCTTGATTTCTGATTGTATAGCCTGGGTTGACACGGTAGATTGTCCAACAATTTGGACATTATATAAAATTTTCCTTGGCAACAATGTTCTTACAGGTCTTCCCTGATACGAGACAATTGCAGCCACATTCACCTTCATTTGAGAGGCCAAACCACCTCATTTGTTCTGGTGTGCAGAGTTTGCCATATGCTTTTTCACAGTGGGGGCAAAGGTCTGAACCTTCCTGGGCATGCAAAACCAGACTGAAAAGCCCAGACACAATGCAAAGCACAACAACAGCACAGAGATTCATGGGGGCAGGGTGTTGAAATTGAATCCAGGGGGTATTGAAACTGGACTCAAGTGCACAATGTTGATAATCCGTTGAGCTATGTCAGCGGTGATAGATGCAACTCAAGGTCAAGCTTAATAGGAGCCATTCACTGGAAAATCTGAATTATATCCTGCACAAGTATGAAATTTTTTATCATTTTCATAAACAGAAAGTATTTTGGAACCCAAAATCACACCATAGTTCAAAATTTACAACAGATAATTTTTTCACACATCCAATTTTTATGGTTCTGATTATGCACTTGAAGATCCTCAGATCAGCACTTCTCTTTTCCCTACAATTTAATCCTTTTCTTCCCACTCTTCCAGCTCCCCCCAGCTTTTCTTGGGTACCACTATGCCAAAGATTTTGGTCTTGGTGATGGGTTGGACTTATACAGATGCTTGTCTCCGGTTATGAAAATGAGGTTGCTTTACTCTAGTCCCCCTCTCTCCAGGAACCTAAAAATGGGGGAGTTACCCAAAAATATTGGCAAAGATGGCCTTGAGTCAGATGCTGCAGATTTCTGGGGAAAAGAAAAACTCAAATGTATCAAAGGATAAACAAAGAAATAGAGGATACCTCAAATATGGGAAGACAGCATATTTAACAAGCATCATGGGAAATAAAATACTTCAACTTTTGTAATCTTTGGACAGAACTTCCCCCTTTTGGGAGAATTCTTGCACTAAGATGAATTCCAACATAACATCTGTGAACAGAGCTGTTTAATTGCAAAAAGAAATAAGAATAAGGTCAAGCCAATCAATCAATACCTCTGAGTACAGTCCTGGCTTATCCTCCGGAGCAAAAGATGTCTCTGTGAAACCTCAATCTACAGGTTTCAAAAGAATATTAGGTAATCAACAACTCATCAACTATTTCAACACTCACCACCCTGTCCCCCTTCTAGCTCAGCAGAGACTTTGACTTCATTATCATATCTGCTGATCTAGGTAAGCCACTCATCTCTCTTTCTCACATTGTTGTCTCTTCTCATCTTTCCTTCTATTTCTTATGTTATCAAATCATGTACTGATAGGAGATACTTTGACTTCATTGTCATATCTGTTGAGGTGGACCAGGCTAGAAAAGGAGCTGAAAGTCACAGACGTTAGGTCTTGTGACAGTGACTGGACACGAAGATGAAAATGGTGTTATTATTCAGTGAAGAGGAGCTTGGATGAGAGAGAATGCCACGACTACATACAAGCTCTGTTTTGTTAGAAGCATACAGGTGCTATAAGCATATCCAACACACCCCCTTGCTGAGAACAAAACCATAACTGAAATGGAAGAGAGTAAAAAAAATACTATTTGGGACCTCTAGTAAATAAAAAAATCTCTTGACAGGGACAGAAAAAAAATTAAAACCAGGCCAGAGATTCTACGTAGATAGGGAGTAGGGAGAGGCCACGACAGCTACTGTACTCAAAAACAAACCAACAATAGAAATTGACCATAGGTTTGCACTGGAGTTGTGCGCCCCACGAATATAAAATTACGTCGACTTCCAGTCCTCTTATCCCCAGACGTCAATTTCCTTGTCGAAGCTATTGTCTTTGTCCTCATTTGAATCTTAGTTGCCTAGATGAGCCACTGCTGTGGCGCCTGCTCGAGCCTCGGCCGATTTTGAAGAGGACTTGAAGGACTTCTTCTTTGGGCATTCGGCTGAGTGATGGCCTTTTTCTCCGCAGGTGTAGCATCGCGGTCGGCCTTTACCTTTCACTGCGGCGGAGGCTGACTGCAGTTGATCAGAGTGGTCGAGTGGAGTGTTTGTCGAGATCTCATGAGATTCAAGCGCACCGACAGCGTCATCAAGGGAGATCTTGTTTGGCGAGTATGCCAAATGATCCCTGATCGTTTTCCACGAGTCGTCTAGGCCGCGGATGAGTCGATCACAAATCTGCTGATCGGAGGGAGTGAGTTTTACGCTTGCCAGATCCGAGGCAGCCATCCGAAGCCAAGCGATCCACTTCGCAATTGGTTGACTTGGATCATGCCGAGCCATCCAGAAAGCATCCTGTAGCTGGAGGCGTCTAGCTTGGGTGTTCTTTTTGTAGGCATCACAAATCGTCAAGAAGAGCTTACTGGCGGGCTTTACCGTTTCGTATCGTATAGCGAGATCCGATGACAATGTCATTTGGATAGTTGAGCATGCCATGTCGGACCCAATCTGCTCCGTAGTCTTCAGGGTTGTAACCTCGTTGTTCCGGAGATCGGACCGCGAGTTTACCTTCCTTGGAGTCAGCGTTGTTCGGACGTGGGGGGGCCTTGTTGACTATGTCGAGGACTCCTTGAATCTGTAGGACGTTCTGGAGTCGATTTCGCCACGACGTAAAAGTTACCGAGTTGCCGTCCAAAGTTGGAACTGTTTGGATCAGGGCCGAAGGGTTGTTCATTTGGCAAATCAGCATCACAGAGACGATTAGCGCTGAAAAGACCGGGTTGGTTGAAATCCAGAATCGTAAAGGAGCCGTAGCGACAATGGGTCTCATAACCTGTTGAGGTGGACCAGGCTAGAAAAGGAGCTGAAAGTCACAGACGTTAGGTCTTGTGACAGTGACTGGACATGAAGATGAAAATGGTGTTATGATTCAGTGAAGAAGAGCTTGGATGAGAGAGAATGCCACGACTACATACAAGCTCTGTTTTGTTAGAAGCATACAGGCGCTATAAGCATATCCAACAATATCTGCTGCACCAGAAATAAAAATCTATCCGTTGGTTCTAGAAAAGCGTCCCTCAGCGCCTCTATTCCGGTTCTATTCCATAAAGATTCAGTGAAGGGACTTCAACCCTTACAGTACCCTCAATGTTTGAATCTGCTGTCTGCTCTGTTCCAAGGTTAAAAAGCAACTCACAAACACATCCTTAGAGCATCTCCAGCAGAGCCGCTGTGGAACTACTCTTGGGAGGAATATAGCTTGAAAGGGATGAGTGCTTTATTGGGCTGCCTCTCTGATAACAAGAAAAATATAAGAGTATGGACCCTTAAGGAAAAAGGTGTGGCTGTGGAGATTTCTTGAGGATGGTATGTCTAATATTTCTTATGGTTACTAGTCTAAATAAACTTGTCACAAATCAAGGTATCCCAAATTTTGATGGGCAAATACCTGGCTAATAGTAGGTGATCAGTTATCTGAATTGCTGGGGCAGGATCTGATGCGGAAAAAATGAAGAGGAAAAGCAAAGCTCCTTATGTACAAAATTCTGGGGAGTGGCCAGCTTGTGGTTGGAAGATAAATGGAACATTCTATGAGAGCATGAAACAAGAGAAAATATATTTATCCATAGAAACAGGGGAAATAGGCAGTGGGCAAATGCTCCCAAGGTTACTAGTATGAAACAAATGAGGAGAAAAATATTCCATGGAAGGAGATAGGAGGAAATAACTGTTTCATGGATCAGGGGGATTGCTACTAGTGTGGAACACAAGGGGTAAGAAGAATGGAATATGTTTGGAGGGGAATGAGTTTCAGGGCTGTGGAGTTTCTGTTTGGGAAATATTATTATCCATGTGATCTGTGCTTGAGGGGATTCATGAGTGGTGTTTGGATTTGTTTGAGGGTCTGAGGAGCTTTGTGAGGTGTCTTGATCTTGTGATTCCTCTGTGATTTGTACTCTTGATGTGCTTGGATCTTCAGGATTGGCTTACCACACCACAACTGGGCAACTTTTGGCCAGATTTAGCAAGCCACAAGAGGAATTTGGGGTCCAGCAGACCTGCTACAAGACCCGCGGTTAATTGCCCCTCCCCTTGCGGCCGGCTAGAAACCCAAACCTATAGCGGCTTTGGAAGGGACCTGCTATTTGCCATCCCCCGTTGTTAAGCTCAAAAGTGTTTGTGAGAACCTTTTGCTGAGTTTGGAAAGGGATGTGTGAGGTAACCTCTGCCTTTCCTGTGTACTACACTAAACAATACCACCAATCTTAGATTGGCAGCTTTTAATTAGTGATAGTGGAGTGTATCAAAAGATACTCTGTTGTTTAACAGGTGGACAGGTGCAAAAATGGGTTGTTGTTATGTGTAAAGACGTTGTAATATTTGTATGTAAGGGTTGTTATAATTGTAAAACCAAAATATTGGGGAACAAATAATATTATGGAGTGAGCAGTGATTTGCCTGTTATGTGGGGAAATGAATGCAGGAAGTCTGCTGGGGAGAAATTACAACTGGGAGGAAGGGCCTCCTTATATAGACAATAATGAGTTATTTTGGCTCCAGGGGAGCCAGGAATGAGGGATTTTGGCTGGTTGTACAGCCTTACATGAGGGAATTTGGCCAAGATGGAAGAATACATGAGGGGTTTAGGCTGCTGGTACAGCCTACATGTTGTGATTTGAGAAGTTGAGTGGTTTCCGTCGGATTGACAAGCTGTGCAACGGTTGCTAAGCAACCTAGCAACCTGCAGGCTGTGTTTGGTAAGCCGCATGATGTCATCCTGTATTTTGAGGTTGTACGCTGTGGAACTACTCAACCAGGGAGATGGAGCTTGGAGGGGATATAGACAACTACACTAGTACTAATTTAAGTTGAGACTACAGGTGCTGATGAGGCTGCCCTCCTGTACAATGCTAATGGGAAGAGTGTAACACTAAGAAAAAGAAGAAGAGAGGTGTGGCTGATTTCTACTTTATCTTAGACTACTATTACTGATGAGCTTGTGTATGTAGTACCTACTGAGGTGAGAGGAGGAGGAGTAATGAGGTGTGATGGGATAATACTGGCAAGGGTTTAACACTGGCAAAGAGGAATGGCACTGGCAAATATAACTGGCAATGATATCTGGTAAAGATATAAGGGTGATACTAGTATTTCTGATTTCTAAGACTATGGTTAGAAGATAATAAAGTATCCCGCACCGTTTTTTTCATCACAACACCCAATCATACACAAACTACACTGCCCTGGCCTAACAACAACTTCAACCCCTTTAACCACCAACAACTCTTGTTGGAATACCTACTCTCACATTGTACATGCCAGGCCATCCACCCCCTGCTATTGCCAGGCTGCTGTGGGACTAGTGTGACAGAGCTGAGATAGGTGTGTGACATGCGGTCCCAGCTGGCTATTCGGACTGCAATCCACCCCGGCTCTGCTGGAGATGCTCTTAAATTCCATATTTGATTGCTCTTCCATTGAAATAAACTCATGTTAATTGTAAGTTGCACAATGATTTCATTGGTTTTGTGTTTAGGGGTTTGGAAAAACAACTCCCAAATATTGGGAGAACAATTCTGCCTGTTGACATCCTTGGGAGCTGTTTTCCCAATCCCCCCCCCCCCCCCCCTTTTGGGAAGTTTGGGAGTAGCCTCCCGTTGGACATACCCCACCAGCTGGGAGGGATTCCCTAAAGCTGTCAAGGTTGTACTATCTCAATGATGTATGGTGACTGGAAGGGATACTTCTTGATAATTGGAAGGGATTCCTTCCAGTCATCAAGAACAGAAGGATTCCCTTCTGATCATTGAGATAGTACAACCTTAACCACAGGAGGGAATTCCTTCCAGTTGTCAAGACTGTCCATGTCTCAATTCATTTGTGAACAAAAAAATGATTGATGCATTTAATATGATCCAACTGTGGATGCCCCTATTTGAAACATAGGTGCATTGTCAGGCTTGGGGTACTTATGTGTGATCTACTCTTAGAACTTTGGATCCTTATGCATGCCCCTGTGATTGTGATTGCGAGGGTGTTTATGGTGGTAGTAGTGTCATGGTAATTGTCCTAGAATGGATTACAATTGGCCCAAACTACCAACATTGGAGGGGTGATAGAGAGGAGGGTAAGAAGTCAAACTCTTTGTGCTCTAGGATTCTTCACATCATGATTGGAAGCAGAATCTCACAAAGCATGATGTGAAGGGCAAGTGTCTGAATGGGTTTTTTTCCCAACCACCTGAAACTTTCTATTTCTATTTGACTGGTTTATTTCACCGTCCAAAGGGGCTGTTATGGTCCCCTGTTGTAAGGTTGGCCAGAGACAGTCAATATGAGATTGGTCTGCCTGGTGGGTTTTATGTTGCCCAGGCCCACCAATGTGTGATGCCTTTAATCTTCTAATGTATATCCGGTACAGGATACTGAGACAAACTTCACAGCTTGATTGCTATAATCATAAACAAGCTAGGAAATAACAAAATATTAGAAAAAAAAATGAATCATATTGATGAGAATAGAAGAAAATGAAATAAATAACTTAACACAACAGTAGTTATAATATCATAGAAAAGCAAATGAAAGTAGAAGATAATTTAGCGATGACAAAAGGAGTAAACAATGAATAATGAAAAAGAGTTATTGGCAAGGAGAGATGATAAGAGTTGATTCACCAAAACTGTTGATGAGGAGTTGATGGTCAGATGAATGATTGGGGGCAATAGGTATAGTATTGGTCCAAGATTTATATAGGCTGAAGAGGGGAAGTGAGTATTGATTTAGATGGATGAAGTCAATTTGAGATTATAGTTTGATTATTGATGAGTTTTGCAAGAGTGTTCAGAGATGGTGAGATTGAGGAAGGTCTGAGAATTTGTTTTTGGTGCAAATAGTAAAAGAAGGAAAAAGTTTGGGTTTTGAGATACAGTTGAGTATGCAAATAAAATGATTTAGTTTTTGAGAGAGTATACAGTAGTGAAGCCCATTCATGTGAGCTAGTCATGGTTTTGATTAGTGTCAATTAAGAACTGAGAGGGGTCTAAAAAAACACTTTAAATTGTGATGGGAAGTCCTCCAATGGATGATTCTTCACAAAATGATTGATATGTGCACATCTGGAAACATCCATACATTTTTTACCTCAAAAACCTAGGTCCAAATGGAGCGCTGGATAATGTTTCCTTTAAATTAGCTATGCAAAACTCTGCCAGTTGCATTTCATTGAAATGGTATGGTGATCTTGTGACAAGTGTGGTGCTGGTGAGATAACCTTTGTCATCTGTGCGCTTGCATTCCCTAGTGATTTTGGAGGGGGCTTCGGTGAAAGCCACCCTGCAGGGACCATCTGCGCTTCGGTTTGCGCAGCACGTAGATAAGTTAGGTGTAAGCAGCTTGCTTGCCTTTCTACGTTAACGTGCTCCACGCCCTTCCGCACAGTGGACACGCGATCGACAAAAGACGCCGCATACCAAAAGAAAGCTCAAGAAGGACGGATGAGCTTGAAGAGATGGACGAACTTGATACACTAGCAAGCCACCAACTTCGGCAACAAGCAGGTAAGCTTTTCATCAACATCAACCATCCAAATCCTCAAAACGTGTGAAGTGATTCGGCTAAAAACCCCTCCAGGATTTGCCATGAAGCTCTTCCAGCGCCTGGTCGACCACGACTACAACCTTCGACTCAACGTAACCGCTTCAGATCTCCGCACCCAAAACATGCTTTCGAAGGGCGACCTCTTCACTGAGTTGCACTCTACCTTGTTACCTCTACTACGAAGTCACATCTCTAGTCTTTCAGTTGCTCTTCGGAACTCAGCCAGCCTGCGTATCAACCAAGCCCCTACACTCAAGTGCATCATAGAGATCCAAATGAAACTTGAGCTGACTTTGGATCAAACAATCTATATCCTCAATGATATCCTTCCCGGACAACTACTTGCACCGAGCCAAACAAATGACCAGCACTTCAAACAGTTCAAGTTTTATAGACTTCGCCGCTTAGAAAGCTCGATCAAGCAAAGGATGAGAGGTAAACTTGCTCTGTTTTTTTCGAATTGCCGTCGGCTCATAGAAGAAACCACGACACCAGGTCGAAGCCGAACTCTCGCAACATTTTCACCTGCTAAGGCCCTCCAGTCAATCGACTTAGCTATCAGATGGTCATCATCTGAATTAAATCTCATCCATTTTATCTGGATAGACGAACTGTCAAAAATCAATACCCTATGCGTCAGACTGTCAGCTGTGGCCGATCCGGATCAACAATTCTATAACAATAAACTCTACCAATCTTTCAAACCAGTGATCAAGCTATCCCGATTGTTTTTCAGGAAGATTACGACCGCGGGAATGACCAATAAACAGGCACCTTTTTATACAGAAATGTCTTCTTATCAGCTTAACTTATTAGAAGAAACCGCTGGGAAGATCACAGACACACTTACTGATTTTGTGCGCTCATTTGAACAAGACAACCAAAGGCGTCCAGAGTCGGCTAGAGTAATAATCCCAAGACTCAAGAACCTCACAACTCTTTTTCAGTCTTGTTTATTCCTCACAGACCTTTATATCGTCCCTGTTTTTGCAGATGTTCCGTCTCAAGCTTACTTAAAAACTTGGGTTGTTACTTGGAACACTTTATTCTACCAAGCTACTCATAACGCCACCAAAGCTTGTGAATCATTTTAGCCAGCATAAGCAACATTGTTTTTTGGTCAATCTTTGTGATCTGAATATGTTATAGCTAATCTCTTTTCTGATGGATAAAATGGACCCTGCCAGAACCATTGTCCAATGTTAATCCTAGGGAGCCTTTATTTACCATCAGGCTCCATACCTTGGATGACATCATAGGCATGACTGGGTTGGTCACTGCATGGAAATAACCTGCTGGACAGTTGCTTTATCAAAATGGCTAAATTTTTCTGTAACATATCTGCTGGTCAACAAATATACTTACCAAGTTACTTGATCCATTGCAAAAAAATTGGAGGCAGCATAGCATAAAACTGCTGAAGTCAGAGGCAGCATAGTTAGTATTCTTCCATGATGTGTGATTGTTACACAATAAAATCAAGATGCCAAGGTTCCACTAAACTAACAAGGGCTTTTTGACCCTCAAAATTGCAAAGATTCTGTGGATTTCACAATATCTGTATCATATGGGCTTGAAATGCCAAAATAGGCAGAAACGCCCCTTGATATCTCACTGTAAGCTATTTGAGGAGAATGTAGGTAGACAACGTAACAGACAGCAGAAATACAAAAAAGAGGAAAAAGATAGTGGGACTATCTCTTGTTTCAGATAATGGTAGCAACAACAGCTAGAAAAAGTGCTGTTACCATCATCCATAACATGACTTCCGTTGTTGAAAAGGGTAAAACTCATAGGGGCCTTGTGGGGACTGCCTTTTTGGGTGAATCAAAACTAAGGTTGATGGTGCCACCCCCAGTATGCGCCAATGTGTGAGTGGTGTGCACAAAATGATAAAAAAAGGGTGTGTGTGCACTGCTAACCCCAGCTTTTTTTTTGGGGGGGGGGGGTTCCCTCTGTGGAGTCCATGGAGGGTTGCAGTTTTTTGGGTGAGGAGGGGGGTTTCTTGAACTTGGCATTTTTTTGCCCTCAAGGACTGCTGATCCCTAGGCTGAACCCAATACTGAAACTTTCAGATTCATTCAGCCAGTGGCCAGGAAAAAAAATCTGACTTTGAAAAAAAAAATCTGCCAAAAACTGTGCAAAGCAGTTTCTTGATTCAGAAATTGCACAGCACCCCAGCACAACACCCTTGCACCTGCCAACGGCATACACTTGGTAGCAATTTTGGACACACCCGTTGACACACACTTTTCCAAATGTAGTACCATCAACCCCAATCAACACCTGTTTCAAGAGTATCCTTCAGCAAAAATCCCCTGAAAAATTGCACAATCAGGGCTTAGAGACAGATTTTCACTAGTTTCATGCTTGCATAACCAAAATAGGACTTTTCTGAAGTGCCAGTTGGGCAAAAACTAATTAAGACTGCTTTCAAGACTGTATATTTGCGGTTTTTGCCCATTTGACATAGATCCATTTTTCAACAACCACCTATCAGGGGGCTTGTTGGGGTCCCATGAGATGCAGCTTCCAAGGCTTTTGTCAACCTTAGAGCCAGCCAAGCTGGCCAAAAGACTGCTCAAGTCCTCCTTTTCAGCTATGTTCCTACTATAAATTTTTTATCTCTTGATTTTATTACATTCTGACTTCAGAAATGAATTCCTCATGTGATTTTGACCTTAGTAACCAGTACACACTTTTACACTACTCTTCTCCTTCATAGACTTTGTAATATTTCACAGTACCTTGTGAAATATCAACCAAGTTGGAATTCCAACTCTCTACCACATGTACATGTTTTGATTATGTAATCCAACTCTGAAAATTCTCTCAGAGGATACTGAGTTTGCATTTTCAGGATATTCAGACTCCAGACCCACCCAGAACCAACTCAGACCAGAAATCACCAACCTCAACTTGGATACTTCACCGCCGCATCATTGCCGTGTTATCGTTTGGAGTCCCTTAACTATTGGAATCTTCCCACTCATCATGTCAGGATCACCAATAAGTAAGTCACTCCACAAGTTCAGCTTGCATCTTTCTGCTAAGTTCTTTCTCTGTCTCTCTGAATGATCACATCATTCTGTTTCTACTAAACCTCTGCCTTAATCATCATCAAATCAAATCAAGTCATCATTATTCTCTGTTTGGTGGTATAACTGAAAACCACATAGGTTTCCCTTTAAAGAGCCTTGATCTTTGATCTAAAAAATTGAGGTTGGATTGATATATCAATACCAAGTTCCCTATTCAGTTTCAGTTGATAGGAGGCGTAGATTAATTCCGCTTAAATAACAGCCATCCTTCTAAGGAAAGTAAGACTGTATAAAAACTTGATCATAAAATAAATAAACAATAAAATTATTATTCATTTCTTTTCTCTTCCTTTCTCTCTCCCCTTCTCTTATTCTAGTTGTATTTCTTTATTCCTCTGAAATACATCTAGAATTGCCCCCCATATCTTGTGTCCTGTTGTCACTTTTGAGACCCAGGCTCACAGCTTTAATTACAGCTCTTGTGTGTCAAGAAATACTCTATGATCAATATTAGGAGATAGTGTTCCCTGAACTTCTGGACAAGGCAAGTTCTCCTTAGCTCTCCATAACATGTACTAATTATTTTCTCTATAGAAATTTGATATGGAGATCTTTGCCTATCTGGTCATCTTGAACTATTCTTTTCACATGTTGTATGTGACAAGTACTCTTTGATTGTTTGGTTTTCTACTAAAAACTACTAAAAGCTACCGCCAGGGCGAAAATGAAACGATAAGCAGGATATTCAGCTGTAGCTAGGTACGTAAAAAACGAATAAGAAAAAAAAGAAGAAAAAAGTAGACGGCTTACGCATTGCCGTAGCAATGTAGACCAACATTCACTACCAGCTGTGAGCATTCATCAAAGCCTGACCACCAGCACACCGGTCATCGAGCTTTGCCACTGTTGCTTTCAGCCCAGGGATCAAGAGGGCTCCAGTACCGCCCCTCCCGCCACTCTCTATTGATGGCCAACACCGATGATCAAGAGAGAAGCCACATCCCCTTGATGGCCGGCACAGGACATCAAGAGACCGGCGGCTGTTCCCAGTCCTCTACACTGCCTTGATAACTGTTGCCAGCCATTGAGTGAGCATGTCTTTTTTGTAAATGGCCGGTGCCGACCAAGAGAAAGCGGCCTCTCTCTCGATCACCGGTGTCAGCCGTCAACAGTGTACCTGCTTTGATGACCGGTACCGGCCGTCAAGAAAGTGTACATAGCTCCTCTTTTGATGACCAGTACAAGCCATCGAGAGAGTTACAGTCTTGATGAACGATACTGGCCCCCTCTTGTGATGGCCGATACTGGCCCTCATGAGAATCTGGTCGACCGGCACCGGCCACCAAGAGAATGCGCTCTTGATGACCGGTACCGGCCATTAAGAGTGTAGCCATCTCAATGACCGGTACCGGTCGCTGTGAGTCAAGAGCCGCTCTCCCCATAGGGATGACCATCTTGATGTCGCCATTGCAGTGGGGATATCCCTCAATGCTTTTTTGTCTTGTTTTCTTACTATTTTGAGTTATAATGGTGCTACCAATTGAAGAAAAAAATGGTGCCTTGGCGCACCGCCCCTGCGCCAGCCAAAGGCGCGCCACCAGAAGGCTTGGTAGACGCGCTTGGGCCCGCACTTTTCCAAACATGGCACCGACAACCCTACGAGTCTACACGCTTGACCCTCAATTGACACCAGACGCGCCACACCAAAGAAAAGCTCGAAAAGCACGGATAGACTTGAAGACATGGATGAACTTGATACACTTGCAAGCCATCAGCTTCGGCATCAAGCAGGTAAGATTTTCATCAAATTCATCAACCTGACAGAAGCGTAGCGCTGACTTGAAAACCCTCCAGGATTTGCCGTGAAAGTCCTCGAACGTCTGGCCAACTGCGACTATGACCTTGGACTCCCTGATACCCCATCGGATCTCTCTATCGACAAGCTACGTTCGAAGGAATATCTCTTAATTGAGTTGCACTCTGCTCTCCTCCCTCTACTACGCCAGCACATCACCAGTCTTTCGCCAGCTCTGCGCGAGTTAAATCAAGCCCAGGGAAAGCCGACCCCCACCCTGAAGCTCGTGATAGAGATCCTACTGAAACTTGAGCTTACGTTGGATCAAACAATTCGCACCCTCAATGATCTCATTCCGGGAAAACTGCCAAAACCAAGCCAAACAAATGACCAGCATTTCAAAGAATTCAAGTGTTTTAGACTTCGCGGCTTCGAACGCTTTATCAAACGAGTGATGCAAGCTCAACTTGCTACCTTTTTTTCGAAATCCCGTCAGCTCATAGAAACATTCACGCTCCCAGACCAAAGCCGAACTCCCGTTACAACTTCATCTACCAAAGCCATCCTTTCAATCGACTTCACTATCGTGTGGTTAAAAGGATCTGAATTATATCTCATCTATACTAATACTTGGGTGTTCAGCCTGGAAAAAATTGATACCACATGGGATACCCTCTTGGCTGTGGCCGATCCCTCGCACCCAAGACATATTGAACTCTCTCGGTCGTTTAAACCTATGGTCAAACTATCCAAGTTGTTTTTCAAAAAAATTGCAACCGAGGGAATGACCAATAACATGGCACCTATTTTCACAGAAATGTCTTCTTTTCAACTTGACTTATTAGGAACAACAGCCGAGAAAATCACAGAATCACTTGTTGCCTTAGTGTCTTCATTAGAACACGATGACGAAACCCAGCCAAATTTTACTACTACCTTAATTGACCATGTTAAGAACCTTATATCTCAATTTCAAACTTGTGTGTTACTCACAGACCTTTACATTTTCCCTTTACTCACCAAGATCAAAGATGTTCTATCACAAATTTACTACAAAAATTGGATTGTTACCTGGAACACTTTGTTCTATCAAGCTACTCATAATGCCATTCAAGCTTGTGAAGCATTTCAGATACGATAAGTAATATCTTTGTTTATTTGGCCTTTTCTGTTTGAAAATGTTCTAGATTTTAATGATGTTACTCTCTTCCCATTCATACAACACACCCTGCTGCTAGAATTTGTCACTCTTGATTCACATGAGGCATCTCTTTTTTTTTGAGTGCAACACACAGACTTGTCATTTTTTCTATTAAAATATCCTGCCAGCATAATCTGAAGCTCTCTTTCTTCCCTTAGGCTATGTCAGCCTGCTACACACTATACTATGCAGAGAAGACCTGACTTCAGCTAAAAGAATAGTGTATAAAATAGACATTGTCAAACAGATAAATGTAATGTCATCTCTATATATGATACTTTATTTATAGGGCTATTGGAGGACTTCCTGTCAACATCTGCAGGTCTCCCAGAGTCGGTTTAGAGCGGCGAAATTCAAATTTCTCTGCAAGAATCAAGAATTTTCGGGTCTCGATCGACTTCTGCAAGGGTCCCAGATCCGACGGGAAGTCCTCCATTGTTAAAGTAAAAACTCCATAAGCTCATGTTTCATAAAAAAAACTTGAAGAGATGAGCTACAAACATGATGATGGTAAAATTTCATTCAAAATTTGTTTGAAAGTAACTTGTTAGCCTCAAATCAAACATTGAATAGGTTTTCCGATTTTAATTCTATATGCAGGATGTCCTAGGGTTGAATTGTAAGAGTATCCACATCAGTGAGCAGATTAGGATGGATTAGCAGATTAATCTCACCCCTCAACCATGTTGGCATCTATTGAACTGGATCTAACTAATCCAATTGCTAGTAGAGATGGCAACAGGTACCTGTTTGCGGGTACCCGGTACCCGTTTGCGGGTACCTGCCCGCGGGTGCTGGGTGCGGGTGCGGGTGTCGAGTTTTGGGACAGAAAAACAGCGGGTACCCGGAGCAGGTACCCGCCTGGCACCCGCCCTGGGAAAATACTTCCCTTGAGAATTTGAAATCTTCCCAAGTCCTCAATCGACTGGACTCCCCCTCTCCGATCCTCCCTTCTGGTCACCATCTCACCCAACGACACCGCCATGGGGAGCACCACAAAGCGGCCGAACCCTCCTGGATCCAGAACCTCTTCTGTTTCCAGCATCCCAGCGGCGATCCGAAACAAAAAGAAAAAAACTGTAATTGAAGGAGATGACGGATCCGAATCGGGCGACAGCCAGGAGGTCTCCAACCCAGAAACGCCGGCCAGTACTCAAAACTCAAAGGAGGCCTCACGCTCAGACGAGCAAGAACTGAGTAAGCCTTTTTCCTTTTTTCTTTTTTTTTACTCGTCATTGGAGTTGGATTGGTGCGACGGTTGAAGCGAGCGTATGCGCCGGGCTGTGTTGGACGGACGAGAGCACAATTATTGGTGGGTGAGCTCTCTTTCTCTCTCTCTCTCTCTCTCTCGAGATCAAGATAATATACTGAATCTTGTGTTTGACCATAATCAACTTAAGCATCGCTCCGCCGACGAGGTCTGGTGTTCTCGGGCCGAGTTTGAGGACGAACGGAAGCAGATTGGATGAATTGCGGAGCTCGATGACCAATCGATTGGAAGAAGAACGTACGAAGTTCGAGGCCGAGAAGAGCGACTTAATCTCGCAACACGCCGAGCAGATCAAGTCCATGGAGTCCCGTCATGAGGACCAGATTAACGACCTCAAGGCCGAACACGAAGAGATCTTGGTCGCTTCCCTCACCAAATTAGATTTACGTCGGACCCGCAAATTTGAGAGTAACCTCAGTGCCCTGCAAGAGAAACATCTGGCGGAGATCAATGAGATCAAGCTCGATCATCAGAAACAGATCGAGGCTATCACCGCCAATCCTGAGACCTCGGGCGGCCCAAAGAGCGGCACTCCGGATGGGGATTCGACGATCACATATCTCTCAGAAGTAAGTGATTCGACCCGTTTCAATGGGATGGTTTTTTTTTTTTAATGCTGACCACTATATCATGCACTGTCGAAATTAGACAAGGCGTTATTAGAATCGTCACCCTCGTTACCCGGGCTGCCGACGCAGACACATCTCTAACCGAGTGGGAAGCCGCCC